CCTCGCATCGGTCTTATCAACACCCTCAGCGGGAGTCGAACCGCGACAATGCAGGATGGTAGCTTGACACTAGCCACTCGGCTACACTGCCACGAGCGCCTTTTGGGTCACAGGGCAAATGTGAATTTTTCAAGGAAGGCCAGGTCTTTTTTGCCATATGATATGGCAAAACCACTAAAAGAATATGATATGGCAAAAAGACCTAACCTTCCTTGAAAAATTCTCATTTGCCCTGGGACCCAAAAGGCGCTCTTGGCAGTGTAGTCGAGTGGTTAGCGTCTCAAGCTACTATCATGCACTTTCGCGGTTCGACTCCCGCTGAGGGTGTTGATAAGACCGATGCGAGGTCGAAACTGCAGTCCACCCTGGATAAGAACAACTTTTGGGAAAGCAAGGCTATGAGAAATTCAATGAAAACGTCAGCTCAACTCATATCATTGTGGGAAAATTCTTCTTCTACCAGTCCTTCACCACCTTAAACGAAATTGGGTGAATACAACTCATATTAAGTAACTGTACTTATGTAATTAGGTTTCAAATATGAAGACCAAGATGGTATGGCCTTCTATTTGGCCGCAGACTCCTTTAGCTTTATATTGTTGGTTCCACCTTGTTTTCTCAACCTCGTCTTGTTGTCAGGGCGACTTAGTTGGACGTACCTAGTCCTGTGTCCTCTGCCATATTATTCGTGATTTTCAGCTTCGGATCAGTGACTTGATACATTCCCAAGCGTTGAACAGCGGTTAAACAGAAAATTGGTCAAAGGGATTGTCTTCACCTGTTACTTTGATAAAATGTAACTCTGTGATAACGATAGCGTCTCATTGACGATGCTGGCGAAACGTTTTGGAATGTACCAAGTCAATGGTCTGAAGCTGAAAATCACGAATATTGAGGTAGAGGATATAGGACTAGATACGTTTCACAAGGTCTCCGTGACGCTCCTACCAATTTACGAAAACAAGGTCAAACCAACACTGTACTTATGTAAATTTAAGTAAACCTTCGCACTTGCTTCACATCTCAGTTTTCTCACCCGAGTCATTTGGCAATGAAAACTTTGTTTGTGCATTATTTACAGTGATATACGTCACTTTTTCTCTTGAATGTATAAATTATCATTATTTTCCTCTGGCATGCTTTGGTATCAGTCCAAACTATCAATAAGCTCTAATTAAGAGGGAATTTCACTGATGTGTCTAGTTATGTTTGGGCATTCCTAATTTTCTCTGCTGACACGCAAATGGGGAGAAGCCTTACTTTTTGCTATGAATATGCTTCGAAGCTTTTAGTACTGCTTGAACAAGAACTTAATCATTCTAGGCCGCTTAAGCTGATTTAAAGACCCATACACCAACATCTCCAACAAGATTCGAAACCGGATCGGGCATCATGGCGATACTTTATCTCTCCAAAGTACAGTCATGGGGTCAAGTGGATTATGGGACGGATATGACTTTCTAAGCAAACCACTTTTTTCGCATCAAGAATACATCTCATATATGTAAACACTTTTTATCGTGGGATTGTCGATTAGGCAAATTCGTATTCGCCACTACAATCGATGATGCTGCTTATTTTCGGTATGAGTATTCTTAACTAAAGAACTAAAATATTATTAGAAAGGATTGCAGAATTTACTGTTGCTACAATGTGTTTCAATTCAGGGTTAACTAAACCAGCAGTACTCATCTGAGTCTCAATAGCAAGCACAGTGTGATTGCTTCCTATAATGTTTGGGTCCAAAGTCTCACATGTCACAGTCAAAATTATGAAGACCAAGATAGTGTGGCCCGCAGTATGATCGCTGTCTCCTTTCAATTTATAAAAGTGGGTTGACCTCTTTTTTACAACTTGGTCTCGTTGTCAGGACAACTTAGTAGAACGCACCTTGTCAGAAGTCCTCTGCCATGGTAATTATCATAATTCCCAGCATCAGACCTTGGACTTGATACTTCCTCAGACGTTTTTATGGCATTTTAGTCGGCATCGTAGACTTCGAACAAAGTGCCTCCTACTAAGTCGCCCTGACAACAAGATCGAGTTGCGGCAATGAGGTCAGCCGACCTTTATAAATCGAAAGGAGACTGTGACATACCGGGGGCCACACCATCTTGCTCTTCATATCGTGGACAGATTTTGTCCAAACTTTTAT